ACTTTATACGACATATTTGTACATATATTGAATACTTATTACCTACAATAAACATCAAATATTGGAAATAAAAATAAAAAGAAAGTCCCAAGATTTTTGAAGCATGCTTTCGATATGACTACACAGTAAAAAAAAATGCTCCACTAAAAAAATAATGTGCAAACACTTTTTGCAATCACTAATCTACATATCGAAGCTGTCTTTTTATTTCCAAAAACCTTCAATCGCAACCTTTTCATTACCGCAAAAAAGAAAACCTTCAATCGTTAAGACATCGAAAGTTCATCAAACGGAAGTTCATCTCGATTCGAGATGAGATTTAATTCAATTCCAAACGAAACTGTGAAAGAAACGGAGGAGAATGGATCGCAGGATTGGTAATTCTCTTAACGATTATAGCCAGCACTGAAGCTAAAGTTCACGACATTGGAAACGATAGCGGTTTCGGAATTGTCCGCGCATGGAATTAATTAACTCTTCTATCGATGCCGGTAAATCATTCGCATTTACATTCGACATTTCTCAATATCTCGTTAACATGTGTACGTACGTTGTGCATACATGTGCGTGTGCACGCGCGGGTAATGAACTCGAATTAAACGATTATTGAACACAGCACGCGTTATCTCGTTTCCTTTTTCACGAGAAATGTCCGTGTACGAGCTGACGGCCAGTAGTTTACCAATAAAACGCGATAATTAGAGGGCGTATAAACGTCGTTGGCAAGTGACGTTGCTGTAATTTCTTCGCAAATTATTCGACTCCGTTCTCGCTTTTTCTCGCTGCCGGAGAATATCTCTGGGACCACCTTTCTGTCCTCGTCGTCACGGTAATCCTTGCCATGCCTGTGAATTCCGCTTTATCGGCGACAATGAATTCTCCGAAGCTCGTTTTTTCTTTGATCTTTACTTTGCGGACTGGACAGTTTTTATCAAAATAGAAAATGTCCTTTCGAGTCTTCGTTAATTGCCAGAGAAAAAGAGGTATGCGTGTTTTACCTCGTTTTTTTGTACCTCGTGTTTAATGTTTGAATTATGAATAATTTCGATTAATATAGTTGTGAATTAAATTGCAAGAAACTGCAAAATTGCAATAATATGTTGGAAACGATACATTCTTCTTTGGATTATGTGTATGGTAATAATTTGACGTAGGATATGAACCACATACCCGCAGAAATATTGTGTAAAAATATTTCAGGATAGTTCACGATAATTCGTCAGTGTATTTACGATAATTCCTGTCTGTGGATGTTTGTGCAGTTAAAGAGAGTACAGATAAAGATACAAGTTATTAAATTTAGTTTCGATTACTTAGATCATGTACTCCATACCTTATAAATTTTCAATGCTAAATTTTACAATATGGAGACAGTGTAATGCACAAATTACTCGATACTTGTTATTTGTTACTACTTCCTATTGTATCGTACAATAGTATCACAAATAAAGTATCTTCAGATTTTCATGCATAGATACATGTATAATCACAAACGTGACTATGTACAATCCAAATTGTAATAGCTACTTGTTACAAAATTTAGCAAGCAAAACTTTCCACGAGACTTCCGCCATTTCAATCACGCTCGCAGAAGTATGAAGTTGCGCAATATTCACAAATGAATGCGCGTTGACACATGGCCCCTTTATCGCGAGAGAAAGAAACGGGGGAAAAAAAAAAAAACAGAAAGAAAGTATCTCTGCAGAGCGGTTTCACGGAGTGGTCTTGCCATCGAGCCACGCCAACGTGTTTTCATCGCAATATTTTCTGACTATTTGCCTGGTAAATCTTCGAAAGGACAGGTCGCGTTGAACGTGGCGGCCATCTACTGAACGGGGCTGAACGAGTCGGTCCTAGACCTAGATAGCCTAGAATGGAGTTCCCCCACGGATTTATCGCCGCGTCTCAGCCATTGTTTACGTCTCAGACAGATCGCGTAAATTCCCGTTTCAAAGTGTCTCGGAAACCACCCGTATCCAACGTTTCCGCCCTCCGTATCTCCATTCTTTCGGATAATGGACACTCACTTTCCTTCTGTGCGCAGACCTTGTTACCAGAGCCACGTTGAACGCCTTTTTGTCTCCCGAAGGATTTCCACTCTCTCCACCTCCCGATTCTCCCTCAAGACAGGACACACCATACTTGGAGGGACATTGGACGAATTTACATTCGGATTACATTCAGGAAATTTTACTCGGCAACTTGTTTGATATTTATCGTGCCATTGATGAAATTATTTAAATTTTTATTTAAAAAATTTAATCATTTATTAATAATTATATAATTTATTTATATTATTTAAAACTTCATTTAAATCGTAAGTAAGCACGGCGCTGTAATTAGATGCATCATTCACGGTATATAACAAATAAGCAGGATTTTATTCTTCAGTTTATTCCGCGTGAGTTTTGGTTTTTACTGAAAAGTGCAACCTCGAAACGGTGCGATATTTCAGCGTCGAATTCCTTCCTCTCAGAGTTTTTACTTCTACTGAAAAAATGTTTTAAACATTCGAATCGACGAGCGACAATTATAATATAATATAGAAGGAACGTTGAAAAAATAAATTGCGCATATTACTGCATGCAATGCAGGAAAATGCAATAAAAGTATCAAGGTATTTATAAATGAAACAAACTTCCTTCAGCTTTTCTTCAGTCAGACTCGTAAAGATCCATAATTTATTGATATGATATTTCAGAATACTCTCTTAGAACTGATTGTTAGTAAAAAATCTTACCGAGAGTTGAACGATGCAATGCATGAAAGACTTAGTCAATTAAATCACGAGGAAGAAAAGAAAAAACAAAAAACGTGGAATAAGGATTATTTTTCAAGCGTAGCGCGGCCATTCGAAACTCGCGTCGTATCAGTTGTTTCAAAGTTAGGGTACGCCGGCCGATCAATATCTCGGTTAACACGGCTTCATCTCCTCTACATATCGCGAGGTAACCAGAATACCTAGGCAAAAAGCCGCATTTGCAAGGGATGCTGCTCTCGCTTTACCCGCGAAAAGAGAAAGAGAGGTGAAAGCGTCGTAAAATTGAAGCGAGATTTCGTTGGAATAAAATCGCTGCATCGCGCGTGTACCGAGGGTTGCAACTCGTTAATCGAGAATCGATTGCGCATCTCGCGGACGTTGTTGCGATTAAATTCCTCTGGAGGAGCGGCGGTTTTTTCGCTGGCGAGGGATTTTTGTGTCGTGAGCTGCTTATTTATACAAGCTTGGCAAGAAGGGTAGGCTTGGTAGAAAGCATCGGCATAAGTTGCACACGCCTCCCGATCGGAGAATTCCCGCTCGATTGGCTGGTTCGTCTCTTCGCCGCAAGAAAAAAAGAAAATCATTCCGAGAGGTCGATCGACCATCTCGAAATCGCGTCCGATATTTAACGTGTCCCGCTTCGATTTACACTCTCGTTCAAAAGTTTGGAACTTCTGTTAGAGTGTTCGCAAGAAGCAACGATATTTTATTCTTAATAATGAAATTACCAAAATTTCATTCATAGATTTGCAACGATGCGTTTTTTAAAGATCTCTTCTACTTCGTAGAATTTAATTTCTCTGATGCAAGTACACTTTGGTCTGTAGGTCTAGTGAATGTTTCGTCGATAGTTAAATTTAGAAACGAAATTTATAATCGCAATGGTCATATTTCTTAGAGATATATCCAAAAAATTTATTTTCCATTTAAAGAAAGGAAAGATTGCTCTAAATTTCGGGACGAATCACTCATTCGTCTTATTACAATCATAACTTCAATTTTTACATGTAATAAATTAAATTTTCGATACAATGAAAAAATGACATTACGAATAAGATACTGATTTATTCGAGGGAATCGTTATTTCAAAATTTTTGAGCAGGAGTGTATGAAGGGATCGTGCATGACGATATATCGTTACATTCAGGATTTAGTTTATATGCCACTCGATTTTTGCGATCTAGAGCGAAGGTGAAGGAAAAAGATATTCTCCAGCAGAACATATCGTGATCTTTTTCGTCGAACGATTGTGCACGGGAAAGCTTGAAGATGGGGTTAAAATGATAATCGCAAATGTTTGGAATAAGTGAGTGTGCATTTATGAAACGTTTGAATACTCGAGCAGAAGGCCGATAAATAAAGAGAGTTACCGAAATTAGAAGAACATACGCGGGCATCTGCACAGTCTATAAACACTTTTCTAAGCACATTTAACATTTAACAGGATAATAATAATAGCCGACAAGGGAACGTAACTCGCGTTGTTCGAGTATCATCGTAAATAATTTATTTGCCAAAGTGTCGCAGGTATCTAAACAAATTTCGTGCAAACGCGACAGTTTCGTAAACACTCTGTATTAACAATAATTTCGATAATCGAACTGGGAACTTTCGCCATAAAAAAAAAAGTGATCGAAATTCTAGCAAAATCTGAATCAGCAAACTAAATCGCAAGACGAAATTTACATTCCAAACGGAGCAGTCTTTGGAGAGGTTTTGGGTGGGTGGCGCAGAATCTTCAACTAAAACTTTGATTAACTTTCGCCAAACTGCACTCGAACTCGAAGGAAATTAAAACTTAAGCGAGACGGCTTCCTACAAAAAATATTATCCACCTTTCGCAGCCCTGGCGAAACTTTCCTTCATCTCGCCGCCGCGTGGTATTTCCAAGGGAGGGAAAAAGAAAACAGAAACGAGAAACGTCACTCGTCTGGCGAATACTTGTAGAACGGTAGATCGTCGATCTTCCGGGAAACGATCTCGTTAAAATGGTCTGTTCGTTTTTAGGCAGGAAGTGCGAAGTGACTCCGGGCTGCTCCTGTGAGTCTCGGACGCAGCTGGAGGCCAAAGTCGAAGCTCGAATCCAGCCATTTGGCCGTGGAGGGCACGCACGATCGAGGAAAGGTAGGGCTCTTCTCGATGCGGACATCGCGATTCAACGAGCAAAATCGATGGTAGGGGCAAGGCTCGACTAGGGACGATATAATAGGGCTAGAACGTCGGCTACGTTGGGGTGGGATAGCTCGAAACTATCCCCGGTGCCTGGGATAATCCCCTCGTATAAATTGGATTGTTGGTAGAACGTGGAAACTGAACGCTGCTGCAGCCAGAGTGGTTGGAAGAGATAGAGAGAAAGAGAGAGAGAGAGAAACACAGAGAGGAAAGAAGAGGAAACGGCGGAACTGCTGCAGACGCACGTACAAACAATCTCAGTCGCCTTGGCTCACACAACCAACCGTGAAAACTCGTTCGCGAACGTACATACACGTTCGTAGTGAAGGAGGACAGGGAAGAACGCAGGTTACAGGAGGCGGCCATTCGTACACGTGTATCCACCTTCACCCTCTTGGATTTCGTCGCAGCGAACGGCGGGGATGGAAACGGGCAGCTGAATTAACGCTCGTCCTATGGTCGAACTGGCGTGCAGTTATGCGCGCTTTATCGTGCTGGCACTCCGTGCTATCGAACTAATGTCATCACCACCCACCTCTTTTCGAGGGGAGGATAGCGCGGCGCATTTTTGCACCACCATGGCAATACATCTTAAATTCGTACTGAAGAAACGAGTTGAAAAGAACGCTTTTTCGCTTTGTGGATGTTGATTTGTGATAAGATCTGTGACAACGCTTAAGTGATACTATAATAGGCACGTACGCAACGAAATTATATATCTAGAAAATATTGGTGGATTTCTTAGTGAAGAAAAGGTTGTTGAGAGGGTCGAGCAGAATGGTTGAAAAATATGTACATAGTTGGAGCTGCGAAGCTTCACGATACGAAGCGGAGTGGAAACGCGGAGGAGCGAAAATGGAACTCATCGGGGAAAATGAAAGGGATTAATCTCTGGGAAGATGATCTCGCAGAGCAGATATCCGGCGTACAATTGGAAAGGTTCCGAGGCACAACTCGTTACCGCGGGCTACACGAGCGATACGTGACGATCACGGAGGAAACGCTGCAGCAAATAACAAGGGTTAGTTGTTTACAAGGTAACGTTATGCTTCTTTGCGTAGATATTAAACCAGCCCTTCTCGCGATGTGGCCCCGTGTGTTTGCCCATCTTCTCCTCGACAAAAGGACAAGAGACAAAAGAACAGACGCCACTCTTCTTATTTGATATTTTCTTATTTCTCCGGGGACAAATAGGGTTGTTTTATCGAGGAACATCTATCGACTGACAGAGTGATTCCTTTTATTAGGAATTTCGAGATTGGATCATTGATCGAAGAAAGGAGGCGCATGTAATCGTCGTTGTTGGTATTGTTCGTTTGTTGCACGATCTCGTCCTTTACCTGTATAACATGTCATGTTATCATTGATAAATGGAGAACCATTTCCCCCGTTTCTCGACCGTTGTTTCTCTTCTTCTCGACTTGTCCGAAATTCTAGCCAGCGGATCTTAACTCGCTGGTCACGATCCTCGCGAACGTAAAACATCTGGTCGACCCGGCCGACCGCGTAACATCCGAAAATAGCACCATGAATCTAATAAGCATCGTGACGAGGTCCCGCGGACGCCTTCGCGTTTCGAATCACCGTAGAGAAACTTTGATTACGCCCCAGGAATCTCTGTGTCGTGCTCACCCTCTAACCGCCATAAATTTGCCGGAAGACCGAGCCCAAATCAAAACGGAACGGCTCTTTGTTTCCTCTATATTATCCAATTACGCTTTGAGGCTACGTTTCGGAACTGAAAAGATGACAGTCGCGTATAAATATAATTGGCTCCGGTTCATTAAATTAACACTTGAACCGGATAGTTGACTTGATAGTTATTGAAAGTTTCAAAGATCTAGGAAAATTTTATTTTAAAATTTTTCGAAGCATTGATCAGTTGTACAAGATGTAAACGTAAGACGTAATATGCATTTTCGATTAAAGCGTTCAAAATATCGACTACAGATAGCCAGACTTTCAAAATAATCAAATTCTTCGACACCTCCGAGACTTTCAAAACTTTATCCTAACTATGTTCGAAGTAACGTGAATTGGCCTTGAGAAACAAAACTTGAATTGAAAATCGTATATAGATGGGACGAACCAAATATTACAAAGAGCCCTTGCAACATATTACTAACTTTTCAGCTCCCAAATGCAGATCTCCGTGTCGGCGACTAATTCGTTGCATCGAGTTTGTTCCAGCGGCGCGACAAAGGGTGCCACACCTTCGAAAGCAAGGGGTTCTTCCTCCGCCTAGTGCGCGTAGCCGCGCGCACACGCCTTCTCCTTTCGCCTTCAATATGCTGCCTTTGCAGCTACCACGCTCGTTGTTTATTCACGAGAAAAACGCGTTCCTCCCCTTCTCGATTCTCTACCACCGTGTTCGACGTTCGTTTCCCACGTTGTCGTCTCGCCGGGAGGCTCCCAGTTTCCCTCTTATTTCTCTACGCCAATACCGAAACGATCCCGATGTCTGCAGTGAGGTATATACCTCGGTCGGATATGCCCCTCACCCCTTCAACTTTTATAAAATATAAGCAATTTCATACTCTTTCGAGCTCTCGGGACCTCGTCGTCTTTACGACGAGCCACCTCGGATTTTGTCAGGTCTACCTCCCTCCCCCCTGGTTTTGGCCACCGCTCGAAGATTGCTTGGTGTTTGTTGCACGTGGACGCGAGGTGTATCACGCAGAGGTGGCACGAACAAGTAGTCTTTATGCAAGGAAGTTTATTAGCCCCGGGACAGAGTCTGGAAGGGAGCCTGCCTCGTTGCGGCACGTTGGTTATTATCCACCAGCGTCGTTTAATTATTCGAATCGTCGTTGCGCTGGTAATGCTGTAAAAATGCCCGTGGCTACCACGAGGCATTAGCGTTTCTCATAATTTTCATTGCACCCTGAGCCGACGGACGTCACCTCGCTCTCTCGATCGTGTCGCAAGAGTTCCACACGCGGTTCTGTCTAGCGTTCGTTTTTCTGCGATTGCAATTTCACGGTGGCGCGACGAGTTTTGGGAAGTTTATATGGAGATCCGCCTCATATTTCGGAAGAATTTTATGCAAGGTCAAGTTTCATAGATTCACCAGTCTCACGTTCATTCAGGAGGATGTGTACCTAATTGAGAATAGATTGATGGATATATCTCTGTTGGAATGTATATATTTTTATTTTCTGACGAACTATTTTTTTATCAAGTCCCACGATTCTTTTCCATGCTGTCATGTTTGTATAGTTTGCGTAGTATTAGAAATTTAATATATTTGAATCTAAATTCTGTAATAAATAGCGATATACTACCGTTCGTCATGAGTATAAGATACAATATAATAGAACTTCGTTTGTAATCAGAGTTCGTCATTTTCCATTCGTATAGACATATATTAAAAATTCCATTTCGTATTAACTATATTTAATCTCGTTAAACCAAATGAAAGAAATGAATTCCTACTGCGTAATAATACACTCAACAAGAGAAGAAAAAAGATGTCAACCATCGTGTCGTAGCAAACTGCATAATCAATCAATTATGTGTAAATTTACAGCCATAAACGTCACCATTACACAATGCAAAATTTATGCTTAATCATAAACATCATCGTACTATAGGAATCTATACTGAGAGAACTTACTCTATAGAAATCACAACAATTGTCATTAACGACAATCAAAACAAGCGCACTAATTTTTAATAACGTATCGACGTTAATCGATTTTTTCTTCTCAAGATAAAGTCAACCTCGACTTTCTCTTGCGTTTAATCCTTAAATACTATAGATATTGATCCTTATATAATCATCACAGAAGGTCTCACAAGACTAGAGTCGAATTTAATTATTTCTGCTTGTCGTATTTCCAAAATCGAGCAACAGTAAATGTGAAAATTAGAAACTGAAAAATGAAAGTGAAATAAATATAAAATAGAAAATAAAATGCAAGAATGAATGAAAGTTCGGAGCAATCTCACAGAATTACCATTTCTACAGTAAATAGTAGCTTTTTGCCGTCTATTAGATTTTGTCATAATGTACAATCGACATAATCGGAAACAATCGCGTCTGTTATTAAAAATTACATAACGTCCGACTCGTCTCGACTACCATCTTTTCTCAGCTCTCACGCCTAAGGAGTTACCAAAGTCATTGAATCTGTCTGCTTCACTCGACGAAGCAATGTATACTTCGTTAACCACGCTCTACGTCACTTCTCTCGAAATCGTCCAGGGCAGTAATTCACGAGTCACGAATCGCGCGTGCACACCGTACAGATAAACGCGACAAAGCCACCGCCCATAATGACCCATTCCTAGTCTCCCTTCTCCCCCTGGACCTCGATCGCTGTCTCCTTTTCTCTTTCTTTCGCTATCTTTATGCAGATGACGGCGAGTGCGGTTAATTCACTCTGGAAATTACGGATGGCCTCGTTCATTCTAATTTCCCCTCAACGTCCATGATTGGAGTCGGCCGACGAGGACGATTTTACTCCTCTCTGTTGCACGTTGCACCTGTATCCACGCCCACGCAGAGCATAAGCACGTTCCACGACGAGTAGACACTCGCTTCCTCGAGAAAACGTTGTCGAAAAGAATTTTTGTTCCGTTCGTCGTTGTTACGACGTTCTATTGTTCGTTCAGTTATTATTGTTCGATTCTTATTCGTTTTCCTCGGAATAACAAAGCATAGATAGGATAGATAAAATATGTGATATTGTATATGGATAGAATTTGGAATTTCGTCTCTTCGGTAATTTTCCTGCATAGAAATATGTAGACGAAAATTTTACTTGTGCTGGGTTAAGGTATAGTATCCATAAAAAGTTTCGAGAACCTACCATTTTTCGGAGAAATAAGAATATCGTAAATCGAATTTTGATTTTTTCAGGACACTGAAGAATCTTGCCGAATGAAACAAGCTACTTCACATTTTTCTGACAAATTAAGATACCGTAATTCAGACTTGATTGAAGTCCATTAAAATTATGAACATAAATATTAAAATATCAAGTGTTAACTCACAATATAAAACAATAATACGAATAAAAAAATTCTGGTTGAAGCAGAAATTTTTGAGCAGAAATGTTCCATATTCCACGGAATTATTCTATGTCGTGGTATTTGGACGAGGTATTTCATATTGTATGGGTCACTGACGGTTGTTCCCCAAAATGGCGGTAGCAAGTGTACATCTGCGGTTGAATATTCAGGTAGAAACAGACGCCAGAGACTTTAATATTCTTCTGCTGCATAACCTCCTAAAATAATACAGCGACGCAACGTTCTATTCACCTTTCGATATCCAATCTTTCCCGGACGCAGAAAATTCCCTCGGCTGTAACCTTCCCGGCTCGTGAAATATAAGAACTCAATTTCGTCGACAATAGAGCTCGACACTCGAGGGAGGCGAAATGTTATAACTGTCAGCGTGGTTTCAGAGAGAAAGTCGAGAGCGTTCGCTTAATTTTCCCTCCAGGTTTCAAAGAGTTGCTGCCTCACTTCCAGAGCAGCCCGTTTTGTCGCACCTGCACCAGTGTTCGTCGTCAAAAGGGAAGAATTTAGAAGAGTGGACGTTCAACGAAAGGAGACGGAAAGAAATGGGTACAACGAATTTTTCTTGTGAAAGTGTAGGTGATTATCTCCAGACAAAGAAGTGGAAACGTAAATCGATGGATTTTGCATTTAGTTTCGAATATTGTATTTTTTATTAAAATATACTGATTGTAAAAGAAATATTATATTTTTTAATAAATTTTTTTGCATTGGGTTCCACGTTTAATTTGGATAATTCTGTGAAATAAATGATAGTTAATTTAATGTATATTGTTTCTTTTAATATAATATAGTCACGCGAAATTTAAACCTAATAGTAAACAATTATGATAATTGCAGTGATGTGTAAATACATCTTGCAAGTTACTAGTAGAGTTTTAGATAAATCTGTCGAGTAACAAATATTTTGATTCCCTCATCTATGATTTTTCGTTAATGCAATAAGAGTACCAACTATAATTTCATTCGAATAAATGGAGTTTATATAAAAGTTATACTGTTTAATAACACATTTGCTCGCATCATCGCGTTCATTGTCCGAAATCCAAAAGAAGAGAAAGAAATATAACAGTTATAGATCTAATAAACGTAAGACTGCATAATCAATTAATTTACAATCTCGTCGTGTTTTCTTTTACGTGATCGAAAAAAAAACTGTGGAGAAAAAGCAAGTGGACGAGCGTTCGACGAAGGAAAAACTCAAGAGGGAAATGGCAAAGAACGGACCTCGATTCTCTAGGAAGGTGGAGTCGAGTAGATTATCTCTCCAGACAGTAAAATGGTAAAGTTCTCAGCCGACGGATGTCGGAAGGCGAAAGACGAGAACTGGGGAAAGCAGACTGTCTTTGAAAGAAAGAAACAGAGAAAAAAGAGAAACCATCTAAGGGAAGAGAAGGGGTGAAGAAAAAGTAAGAGAAAGCTTTCTAGGCCTTTCCTCGGTACAGTGCAGACACAGCCGTGCGAAAACTGCAATGACACGCCCTCTCGTCTCTATCCCTTCTCCGTACCTTCATCTTCCTCGTCTTCCACCCTAGAGACGTCGATGGTCAGGGGTAGATTCTCTCGCAGTTCGACACGCTTTGGCCAGCGGAACTAGGGTCGATTCGAACCCTCGCTGGGAGTTCTGGTGGGGAACCAACGCGTATATATATGTAGATAAATATGTACATATACAGACGCAAATAAATATTATTATATATATTAGAAAAAAAAAAACAGAAGATTCTGACTTAAGTATTTTAGGATCAGATTTTTGATACGATATAATTGAAAGTGAGGGCAAAAGGTTGTTAGATCCGAGGGTGTATTTGAAAAATAAAAATAAAACAGAGAGAATAGACACGGGTTTCAATTAATATCGTTAATTTCATCAATCAAAATCTATCTACGGTGTCTAAAAACTCTATGAATTTTGAAGCGATAATCTCTGCGCCTTGACACTTTTTGTCATGGATATTTTCCACGTAGAACGGGATTACACGTAGGATATTATCATTACTGCGTTGTTATCAGGAACAAAGAAGAACATACACTGTCTCTTTCTTAAATAATAAGATCTTGCTGATAATAAATGAAAAAAAAAATGTTGCAAAATTCGATGTGCCGCAACTTTGTCAATCATTCCTGTCGCTCATCTCGTGCGGTTGTTGGTTTCAGGCAACGTTGATATTGCTTTCAACGATGTGTTTCTCTTCGCCCGGCTGCTGGTCCAGTCTCAAGCGGCTATGACCCCCGCACAGTTTCACACTAAGGCTCAGCAGCTCTCGACGGTGATGCTACATCACCGTGGTGACGGTGGATGCTGACGAACGGTGGTAGTGGTGGATGCTGACGAACGGTGATGGTGGTGGTGGTGGTCGGTCGAACGTGGTGGTCCTTCACCCCTCCGGCACTGGCTGCTCCGCAGCATCACGCACAGATCGATACCCGGCCGTTGGCTTCACCTATACCGGTAGACTCTACCCGGCTGTGCGAGCTTTTCCTCCGGCCACCACCAGCCAGAGTGTTCCTCTCCTCAATGCCGGGCAGGCGATTCGCGTAATCGCGCCTCTTCCGTCGATTGCGACCACCGCTCTCCGCGCAGCCGATCGTTTCGAGAGGCCAGCTGCTGCACGGAGAAAATTACGCCCCGAGAATTTTGCGCGGAAACTCCAGCCGAGGGCATTTGGCCCGGTGGCTGGCAAGCAAACGCTCCACACGTCGGTACTGTCGTGCGTTTTCTCCGGGGAGAGTTTCTACTTTTCTCGAGAGGTGCTCGCGCGCGCGAGCGCGCCGGTTATTGGACCATTTCGCTCCGAATTTTGGCTGGGTCTCGAGCTTGATTTCGTAGGAACGAATTGGGAAACTATGAATTGAAAAGGTCGTTGCAACAGGGAGAACCCGGTAGCAAGCAAATCGGAACTAATTAAAATGTATCACTTTCTCAAATAAATTCATATTCAATAATATTCTTACTAATCCATTTTTGCACCCTCTAATATAAGATCTTCTTATCGTCGCAATCTCGTAATTATCGTAAAGACGATAAATGACTGAATGTCTTCCATTATTAGTTTTAGGTAACTAGTAATTTAGTAGTTCACTGAATCATTTCCTTGTTTATTGCTTTCATCTTAAAAACTTGTTTCCATCTCATTCCGATTAACTCACCACAAAAATTTGAATGCTGCATTACGTATAGAATTGATGATACATCGTTCCGCCATTGTGTTCAAAGCGATACAGGCGCAACACACGCTTTGATTAATTGCTAATTACCTAACGTCATGAACGTTGGGTTCCACGCTGTTAACGGGTGCTCACCATAAATTGCATTCAGCCTTGAGGAGATCGGCGTGCATTAATATCGCAATTGCGAAGGAAGGAAGGAAGTACATGCAATTAACGAGTACCGGTTGCAGCAACGCGTTTCGCAATTATCCACGGCTAAAAGCGATCGAACCGGTGATTCCCGACTTGCTATCTAACCAGTAGGAAACGGTGAAGATAACTGTTAACCGTGTGCTCCATTTACAAGTCACCGCTGTTATCTGTTCGACTGAAAGCAGTTGTGTGTCTTCGTTCACCAAAGATAAGCTGTCGATATTTTTACGACCGGTTCTTCTTCGGGTACGATCACCCATCGAATCGACCCGTGGAATTTGTCCCGTGAAACCCTGCCATTAATCGACTTCGATTTTTGGTAATTATCGCGAAATAAACTCTTTGGCCGAAAGACTTTGTTTGAAAAGCGAGGTCATCGATTTTTCCTTTTTACGTCCAAAGATCATATTTAGTATTTCACATCTTAATCCCCTTCGCGTTTCGAACGAATGAAAGGATCTCGTTGTTTCGAGAAAATCCTTAATAATATGGAATCGCAATCGAAAATTACACGTACCAATAACGACTCATATTTTAGTATCTTTTTTTTTTTTATTATAGTATGTAAAACTTGGAAGAGTCTTCGCGTATAGACGATAGCTTGTTACGCTTTACTACGTCACCGTGATTATGGATGGAGGGTAAGTCCTTAAAATTTCGTCACACCACGGAAGACGTTAAAAAGACATGAAGAAACTTTGCAGACAGGAGGCAGTTTGGGAAGAAAGGAGAGAGGTTTCGTTAAATCCAGCCTCACTTAACGATACTTTTCGACTAAATAGATTCTACGATCGGACTAAATAAAAAATAAACATCGTGGTGTTCGTCGGTAACGCCGAGGACACTTGACCATATAATACATCTGATCGTTTATCGATCGTTTACGCTTGTCCAACATTGGCGCTAAAAGCATTCGATAATAAATCATATCGTTCGTGGAATTTAACGATTCTCGACAATGAAAAATTACTTTTCAGGCATTGGAAACAAGCGGCTGAGAAGTTTCACTTATCGTATGATTGTCCGCTGAATGTTTATTCATGTTTACTCAAAAAATTTGTCACGATATTTTTCTAAATCATTTTATACATTTCTTTTTCTTTCGCGACGTTAGATCGCCAGGCGATGTTTACGTAAAATCTATTTGATCTATTCGTCGTGGAGATTTTCCAGTTTCCTCGTTTTTCCATTGCAAAAACATTCGTCGATTGATCACTTGTTGCCTATAAATATTGCATGATCGATGGAATGACTATTTTATTTGTATTTTTACTTATTTTATTTTGAATCTTATTTCTACTGATTATCCAAGCTTAGTCTCGACACATTGTCTTAACGAATAAATAGATTTTTATATAATAATATCTTTTCATACAAGGTTACATATAATGTATATGATTTTATATTTAATCCTCATAGTTTAAACAGTTTATATTTATAGGTATATACCTACATTGATGGTTACAAAAGAGAAAAAAACGGGAGAAGTAAGCAGGATATAGATGAAGACAGTATTCAATGAATTTGTAATGTAAATGTGAAATATAGGTTTCTAAGAATGAAATAAATGGCTACCTAGGTTCGATATCTATTCGATAGACTGTAAAATCATTCTAAAATTAAAATCTTTCGATCATTGTCGATAATTTTATGGCCTATTGTGCACGTTTGTATTTTCTAATTTTCAATGAATGGCAGGTTGTCTGTTTTCTGAACATCTATAGTTTTTCAGAAAATAACGTGTTATTTCTCGCTTTCATTCATTGATTGATTAATTTCATTTGCAATTCCTTTCGATTAATTTATATTATTACCGCTGTCATGTTCCGGCACATTCCGCGTCGTCATATATTCAAGAGACTGATGAAACGAAAAAAAATGGTCGATTAGTAAAGTAACACTTATCGCTTATCGAAATATTTAAATTACAAATTGCCGTGAGATACAAAGATATCCTATCACGTGTTCGACATTTCGAAAATGTAAAAATTCTGAAATCTATTAACGTGAAGCATACGGAAAGTGTCATAACGAATGTCTTAATCGTAAGTTTTCCTCATATTTAGGTGTTAAATTCTTATATTTAGGTAAGTATTAGAGTCGTTAAATGTTTTAAGGGATGAGAAAAATTTTTTTGGTTATATTATAAATATTTAATTTACAAATATAAGTAATAGTATTAGTCGAATTTCGTTATTAATATATTACTAAATTCCACATTTTTATGCGTAATAAAAATAAAGTATACAGTTTAAACTTTATAGTTTAAAATACATAGTAATAAATGTTCAAATACATACTGTTCGCGAATATATTTTCTTTTCGATATGCTCTAGGTAGGTATTCGTTACGACCATGAAAATTATCACGTACATCGGGACATTTTCTATTTCCAATATTCAGTATTTATCATAGATAATCAAAATGCATGTATAATACAATTGTCAGTGTACCCATTATTTTACTTCGTAGTCTTGAAAGAAACACAGACTTTTGAGCGAAGGTGTACAAATGTGTGTCCGTTTACGTTGTACAACTAAATATAACTCTTCTTCCTCTTTCTAACTCTGACTCTCATTTAACACAGTTTAAATTTAAACTCGAACCTCGTACTCGTGGAATACAGAAGAGAGTCGCGGTTAACGCCTCTCGGCGCGAAAACCATAGGGAAAAAAAAAAAAAAAACATAATGCAATGGAAAAACCGTGCCCGCGTTAATTTATAAGGACAATTGATTAAAATACGTGAGGCGGCTATGTAAATGATTGTTAAGTCGTCTTTCCTCACGGAGATCGATACAGCCGGCTTCTTTTTTTCCACACGTTAGGCAGAATCGTGTGCGATTATACTTTCAGATATATACACTGCCGTTCGGGTTCGTATTTTTCACACGTACCGACGTTACTTATCACGGAGCCCGGAGTGGCTCGTAAGTCGTGCACAAAATCGTTTCGTGGAGCACGTCTCTCTCAGCCCTTGTCTGCACGCCATTGTTTCAGCAACCCCCCGATCGCGATTCGAACCATCGATCTCCGTGGCACGATCCTGACGAGACTAGAAATCGGGGCTGCTTTCGTATCGTTCATTCAAAATGGCATTTTCTCAAGATTTTTCTTTTTTTCCTCCGTTTTCTGCATTCTCTGTATTTCACATTCTTTAATAATTTGATTATTCTCTTCTTTCCAATGAAAATAAGCGAAACTTACAAAATGTCTGCAAAGATTACATGATTCAGGCAAGAAATCGCCAGATTCCACAAATAAAATTTTCCATCTCATGAAATGAAATTTCTAGCCGAGGAATTTCTCACGGAGACAATTTATGGACAATTGTGAAATGTTGCTACGTTACAAAATGAATTTTATAGCTCACAAATCTCCACAAATTTCGCTATTCGATTTGATAAAATTGCACGTATTTTAAATTCAAATCATTCAGGAAAATGTCACGTCGTTTGAATAATTACAAGCTGCATTACACGATATGTATATTCATATCAAATCGATCAGCAAAACATAAAATAACATATTACACTGCGTTATTACCAACTAACGTTGAATATAAAATTTCATATTTAATCTCAGACGAACTTTGAAGTTCTGAATATATTAAATAGCCGTTCAGCAACACAACTTTACAAACGCGAATGATATATCATAATTTGCACGATAAAAGCGCAAGGTGTTTTCAAAAGATATTCACCAAATTCAAAATCAAACCTATCTTGTTAATTCTCTTCTTCGTCAAACAAATCGACTGATCGAATACCTGTCATATTCATAAGACAAAAGAAGAGAAGTAGAGATCACTTTCTCTGATCAAAGTTAATAAACGGAGTAACTAAAAACGGATTTACATTCGTGAGAATATAAAGGAGGGTGACTCGATAAGTGGATGGTTGTGATTCGACCGTTTCGAAGGTTCACGCAAACAGGACCTTGACCACTTACGGGAGAGAGCACACGTTCCAGGATAACGAAATAAAGAAACCCCCCAAAAAAATAAAAAATAAAAAATAAAAAATAAAAAATAAAAAACAAAAAAAAGTTCGGTTTAATTCGTGGTCAGATAAGAGCGGCGAGTTTCGACTGCGGAATCGCAGCCACTCTAACGAGCGACCGATCTTTCGATCGCTAACGATCCCCACGCAAAATAGGCGCCTCACTTTTCGTCAGCGAGGATAACGATAATAATAATAATAATAATAATAATCGCTAATAATAGGGAGATATATAACCGCGTATAAATTTCACCAGATCGAATCGACGTTGTATCCGAGTATCACGGGGGGATTATTTTATTCCTAATTTTATTTCGATCTTTGAATCGTCTCTCCCCAAAAAACGTCGGTGGACCGAAGTTTCTTGCATTTAATTATCGAGAGCTCGAGAAATCGGACTCCACGTAAATACGTATAGAGATCTTCGATGCGATAAAATCGACGAATTGCGCGAAAGATCGGGCATCAAGAACGAAACAGCTGGGCATTCAAGGCTCCATCGTAATTTATATTTGTGTATAGAAATTTATTGCGGTGTATTGCTGTGTAAATCACTGAATAGCGAAATAAATTACACGGATAAATTGGACAAATAATTACGATGCGATCAGCGTGTGCTTAATTCACTCGAGAAAAGTGGTGTTTCTCTTGTGGTTTACGAGAATGATGAGGTAAATTGCAAGATTTTCAGGAGAGTATTATATTTAGATGTGATTGGAAACGTCAGTGTACCGGTAAATCCTTTCATTCTCTCCATAGGCAGGACAACAAGCATAATTATGTTGCAAATAATGTACTATAATTACCTGTTTTTCTCGACTCAATTGAAATTTCTAAATTACTCGAACTTTCTAAAATATATGAACTTTGCAAACCAATTAGTTTTACTGCACATAACTTCTAGATTGCTTCTAAACATTTTTCTCCCACGATCCTTAGAATATTTAACAGAGAACTTGACAGAAATCTTCGTTGATTTTACAATTTTGCTGATTCACGAAAAAGCATTCACGTCGAGAATTTTTTGCTCCAAAATTGTAATATTTTCTCAGTTTTAATTCATTACTACTCAATAATCTCTGTACAGTGATATATCATACCGACGAGTTCAAAAAGAAAGCGACGAATTGTTGTATACGGTTTGGTCACTCGTTATGGTCCGCAATCAGTTGCCAGCGCAACTACTGGTTAAAAACACATAGTTGAAGAAGGTATAAACTTTGTAAAACTAGCGAGAATTTCTCTTCCAAAATGGTTGAAACGCGATTCATCGTGTTTTTCTTCTTCAATTATTCTCGTCATTAACGTCATTTCGAGCCAAAGAAATCACCACAGGCCAGTGGGAGAAGCTCCCACTGCCAAAAATCGGCGGCGCAAACAGAAGAAAGCGAGCGCAGACAGTACGCAATTCCCCCGACAGTGGAGGAGCGTGGAGCAAACACAGACGTGGGCGGCATCGCGGACCTCGAAGAGGAAATAAATGAATTAGTAAATAACGAATTTTATCCGGCTGCATTGGCCAGGAATCCGATAAGCTGGCACCGGTAGGCCGTGTGATCGTCACCGGCGAATAGGGGATCGCGCGTATAAAAACGTACGCGTTATGCGTACCTGTCCGTCCAATGGGGTGGCTTCGCGAACCGGAAAGGGGGAAGATCGAACTGGATTATCGAGCGGCGAACCATGGAACGAGGTACGAAAACGTAGGGGGGAGGGAAGAAGACGATGAAAAAGTGAAGAAGCAGAGAGGCAAGAATCGACAAGAAGCACGGTTCGAGAACGCACTGGGGAAAACGAAACGAAGAGGACGAGCCGGTTCGATCGAGCATCCATTGGTGAGCATAACCGTCCGTTGGACGAGAGGGAAAGGGGGGAGAACGAAAGTGCGCGAGAACGCAAGCAAACGGAGCCAACGACTTTCGCCGAAGCTTGATAACTTTAGAACCCTCTCGAGTCTTTATTGATACTTGGCCGTTTCCACTTGTCCCATATACATACCGGTGCGCCCCACGGATTCGAGGCCCCGAAACGCGCCACGGAAAGCCGGGATTACGTGAAACGCATCGGAGATCCTCCGCGAGTTCCTCGTCTCTCTTTCTCTCTCTCTCTCTCTCTCTCTCTCTCTCTCTCTCTCTCTCTTTCTCACCTAGCTGGCCAGCCGGCTCTTCGTTTCATCCGCGAGGGAGAGGGGAAGTTATCGGAGATTGTTTTGCTATTTTAGCGGCGATATCATTGACTCCGAGCGCTCGTTTCGATAGATGTTTTCCAGATTCAGCGGTTTCTTTACGGTGCAGTAGATACACCGGTTTTAAGTTCGGGCGGAGTTCTGCCGCGTTTGTATCTTATATTTAGTTTCGTACCTTGCCATACGTTAATTTCTACGTATTACGGTCCTTAACCTCCGATAACGCAGAGACATTCGTTCTAGCATTACGAGATTCAGTTCAGGACTGTCGAGTACGACAGACAATCTTCCGATTTAGGTCAGAAGAGTCTAAACTATTTATTTAAATAAGAAAAAATTGAAGAGCGTTTTGAGATTGAGTAATTTACTATCCGATGGTATCAATTGAGGGTTAAATGTTGATCTAAAGAAGGAAGGGTTAAACGGGTATCTCCATAAATGTGAGAAGATTGGGTAGGATCGGAAAGGGTGGGAAGAGCAATTTTCGAACGGACGACAGAGTTCAACGCACCTGGCTGACGTGAATCGCCGACCCAATTTCGCCCGCGGAATGGTAGGACCTGCAAAAATTCTGTTTTACGGTTATTACGCGTTCCAGCGATATAAATAGATCGTTCGTTCTACATGGTCGAGCGCTGCTCTAAATCACGCTCTTCCGCATGACACAGCTAACCTCGACTCGCGTGCCTTGTTATCATAATTCAACCCTTTCGCAACGAGCCCCGAATTGCCTCGGAAAGAACGTTTATGGATCAGTTTACTACTTTTTGCGAACGAATAATGCAACCATTTATCGTATACATCACTGTCACAAACTAAAGTAATGTTACAAATAGTTAAATAGTCCGATAAAAGAAAAAAGACCATGTTGCAAGTGAAAGAATATCTATTTAAGTCTTTGCTACGATTAAACAAAGGACAGATAAATTAAATTAACCAACCATTTTTTCCTTATTCCCCGTTTTAATTTATTTTCTCAGCTGCATTCGTTTATTCATTTAAAAAAACTTCGTAAAAATTTATGCAATGTAAGAAAAAGTTTCTTTCGTTTACATTTATTATCATCCAATGTTGTTCTTACTTTACTTCAGAATGTATCGGTTCGCAGTTGACCGAGAAGACTCGAGGTTCGTTCGCCTGGCATTTCCATAGATTCGGGAGTGAGTCGGGAGAACATGTACCTGTCTACGAACACCCTGGGGACCGATGGCTCCTGTCTCTATAAGACTACCAAAGTTATGCTTACGTTTGCTTGCCCTTACAGCGAAGCATTGTGATACGTTATTCCATGGAACAAGACGTGTGTTCGGTTTGTGATTCCATCGCGAAGCCTACACAGTACTTCGTGTTCCAGGTCAGTCAGCTGATAGGTACTCAATTCTGGTTTTATTATTTTTTTCGAAACACTCTTTGACTAAAGTCTATAAAATAAAGTAGATCAAAATAATCTGATATTCGTGAATTTGTAAATTGTCAGGTGTCTATTAGTTCAATCAAGATGAAATATAAAATTGCCTAATAAATCCTTGCCCTCTTTATCATAGATTTTTATTAGATGTTAAAGTTGGCGCCACTAACCGAAATCTAACCTCAGACATCACAAATACGCTAAAACGTAAAGAGAAAGTTTTCACCGAGGTCTTTTTTTATCCTGACGGCAATAGAACATGCGTCTCGTGATTCAGGCGAAAACACATTTCGGCGGTTCGGGCGGACGATTCGAAATTTCGAAGTGGCTGCACGCGTCCAGGAGGCTCGCCTCCACAGCGTCGCCCTTGTATCGAGTCGGTAATTTTATAACGTCGTAAACAAGACGCGCTCGTAAGGTGTTACGTGTCAACTATCCTCACAGCTTTTTCCTTTCTGTTTTCTTTCCACACTTTCCTCGGCTATTCTTACGTTTCTTACGCGCGAGCTCTCCGCTCTTCTTCTTCGCGACAAATCGACCGTGTTTATCGCACCCTCTGAACGTTCTACTCCGACTGTGATTCGATGGTTTAACAACGCGCGAGTTTTAACATTAGACCACCTTTTAAGTTCACGGATCGTTAATTTTGCGGGTTCTCATTTGAAGAGAGCAAAGATTGACGAGATGTGTCTTGAATTAATGAAACGCGGGCATTTATGCAAATTCGTATTTTTTGGGGAGGAACAAAACCCAGGCGAAAATTGGTCTTTGCCATTACTTTATCGTTGCAGCAAGTAGGCAGGTATAATTTATTTTGACAGTGACATTTAGTGAGTGCTAAAAGATCTACTATTTGTAAAATCGTTCGCAGCTACGATATTGTATTTTCGAGTTGCGTACACGTGAGAAGTTACATTCTTTAATCTTCACAATGAGGGAAGAATGCTTAAAACAGAAAACTAGATGATCTATATTATTTCTATTGTTTTGAAGAAATCAGATTATCAGATTATTTGTGTTTTAATGCAAATTTTTAAACGGTATTTTACACGACGACTCAAGGCTTAATTTTCAAAAATCTAAATTCATGAATGTAAAGTTTCTCGTTATTCGTATGAAAATAAGCATACTTTCAATTCCTTTTTTTTATTTTTCACACGCGTCTGCAACATTTTCTTTAATTTCTTTTAACGATTAATTACGTTGAACTTACGAAAAGAAATCGCGGTTAATTTATTTCCCTCGACAAAATTTACAATGGATGCTCCGTGGGGCAATAAAGTTGCCTGTAACGTTCAATTTAGCAAGAAATTAAAACGAGGAAATTACCGCTTAGAGGACCCTCGGCGAGATAGGAAACTCGGGTGGAATTATTCGGAATAGAGTCAGCTCGTAAAGGGGTAAATGAAGGAACGTACACGGCCATTCTGACTCGAAAGGCGAAGTTTATATCGCCAGCTACGTTTTACATACAATCCTTGCGGGAGAATAAAGGTCCCTCTAAATTACCAATTTAATCCGAGAGCCATTCCACTCGAAACCGAACTCCGTAAAAGGATTACTTTGGAAAATACCCACCTTTGCAGAAATTCGAAATTTAAGCAAAACTTGTGACTTTCGAAACTGCAATTTATTTCTTACTTTGTAACATTGATCGGACTGAAAGACGGAGAATCATTTAGATATTCAGTTTTCAATTTATTTTCATTTTATTTAGTCTTTATAGTCTAAATTTAAATAAATTATAACAGTCAATAGTATAATCTAACGAATTTCTGAATTTATAAAAAATTTGTAACTTCAAATAAAATTGAAAGAAATTACATTATTTTCAAAGATCGTAAAACAGAAAATCCTAATTCTAAGGGGAAAAGCCAATTGAAGAAAATTTACAACGCTTGTTTTTCAACGTTCGCGTTAGGAAGAAGACACGCGGGTTTCGTTTACCTGGGATGGGTTTCCTCGCCATAAATTTCAACTGTTCGTTTCAGCTCTCGCAACGTTTCCAAGCCTTCATTTCTTTCAATATTTTCCAACGTCTGTCCGAAAAGAATAGTCTGACTGTTTATTAGCGATAAAGGTTCGATCAACAGTATCTATTTCAAAAAAGATATTTGCTCTCTATAGAATATCGCTCGTGGCAATCGGACGAGTTCGGATATCGAAGACCTTGGGAAATAATGTCGATCAATCGTCAAATGTAAAGTCCGTCCTGTTTTGGCTCGTTTCGTCGAGCATTTCGACGTCGGGGTTGGATTAAGGTCGACTTAACTTTGACTTAGGTCTGGGTTAAGGTCGTAGACGCGTGCGCACAAGACTTCTCTCTCTCTCTCTTCTTTGGCTGTTCGTGTCGAGTGACTATACATGACTCGAATTTACAAATGTGAAATTTTCCTGAAAAATCCAAAAGAGATTCACCCTCGTTTAATTTTTAGTATACATATAACTTATAGTTTTTTTTTTTTTTAACGAAGTTCATTAATTGTTAAAAACCTTCGTATACGAGGGCTAACACCAAAACTATCGTCGACAAAAGAATGAAATTTATTTAAGAGAAATTGAAGTGCACATTTCTAAAAATACATCGTTGTGAATCTACGAAATTGCAAATTGGTCACCTTGATTATTTTAGTTTTGAACGATTTCCTTTTCAATTTTCCTGCATAGAATTAATTGTTGTGATTTATTATACCGTGTGTTAAAGTTATTAATTTTTTTTTCCCACAAGGAATCGAATTGATATTTAAAAGTCATCGTTACTGTACGTGAGGAACGCTGTTAAAAGAAGAAAAAGAAAATTGAATCTCAATGCGTCCTGTATTGTACTCGAAAGAGCAAGAATCGCCGGTCCATACGAAATGAAGACTAAAGAGTGCAACGAATGAGAATGGATTCTTCTTAGAGAGCCACACCCTGGCGCACAGGTTAAAAAAAGCAAGAAGAACAGACGACGATCGATCGATGTTAGCTCGAGACGACCGGTTTTCGATAGAAACAAAGAACATGAAATTTGCATGAAGAAACCAGCTCTTGTGAGAAACAACGGAGTAAGATGAAGGGGGGGAGGAGGAGGAGAGAAAGGCGAGTGTGGCGAGAAATTATAATAAGGAATCGATTGTCGATCGATTTGCTCTGTTTTCGAGGCTGGACGAGTATTCATCCACCTACGGAATGGTCGAGTGTACAAGTCGAAATCGCGGGTAGGAAGGTCGGCCATCAGGAATTCCACGCACGGCCTCCACCTTCGTTTCTCCCGCCAACGAATCGTGTCTTCTCCCCCTTGTCTCATTTCGCCAGAGAACACAACCAGATAACCGGACGTAATAAACACACGGACATAATTATTCGGACACTGTAGTCCCTTCGACTTGTACACTTGGGATACTTGGCTTACAATGATAATTTCAGTCTTTTAATTATACAGTGTTTTAGAAATTCTACAAAGTATACCAAAACATATAGGGAGAAACGAATGGAATAATTTAAATAAATATACATTTACAATTGCGTGGAATAGATATGGAATATTTGTGAAATATTTTGTGAGATATGCTTGGAGATTTTTATATACATAAATTATTATAATGTTATTTGCAATGAAAAATGAAGATATAAATGATATTATATATATTATTTCTAATAAAAAATATCCATTTTTATTTGAGATACGGAGTACTATCTATTCTAACATTCTAATAAAGTTACAAAAGGGAAGAACTAATAAAACTTCTATTTAAAAATGATCGACATTTTTACCTACATAGTATTATTATGCATTATTATGAATTATTATTCCTATCAATAGAAAATAATCTTTTTCATAATACGAAATACAATTATCGTAGTATAATGTACAATGTATGGAAATTATTTTGTATAAGAGTTATTATTATCGACGAATTTCATACAAGTAAAATTCACGTAAAATCCTTTCCTCGACAAGATATTTAATTTCCATTCATTACAAACGAACTTTAAAATTAATTTAATTATCCAGGAGGCAGGCGTTATGCAGGATTGCAGACATCAAACTTAATCTATATCACCGAGACACTACGATGTAATATTTTTTTTCTATCCGACGCGAGAAATCTTTGGTCGTAGCGACGGCTACGAGCATATTGTAAATCAAGCTTAATGAAGCTTAATGCGGGACGTTAAATGAACTATCCGGCTAAATCTATTCATTTAACGAAGAAGATTTACGGCAAGATTCAAGCGGTTAGATAAAGTTAAATGAATGAAGCGGATTCTCACGACTAGAAGATTCAAACGGGGACACGATGATTCTTCGACGATAATGGCGTATGAATTGGGCGATTAGGAACTGGGTCTCGGTGTATAAAGTGATTCCGAATTAGAACCTCAATATTCATGAGATTCTTTTGTAAAAAGCACTTGTCGAAGGAGAAATTAAATCACCAAAGAGAGACAACGATCGACAAGATTTACGATGTGTAATATTTAGAGGAACGACAGACTACTTGATAGACAACTTAACCTCAACTTTGTTAATCGTGAATTTATAATGATATATGGTTCTTCAAGAAGACCAAGTTTAACGAGAGACAGTTAAATACATTAAATAAACTGAAATTACTATTCTTCGAACAGTGAAAATAAATTATATGATACACAAATAGTTTAGGGAAAAAGAATGAATAAATTCTGACATAAATATTGTATTTTAAATCTCTCAAAAAGGTCATAAAATTGAAACTTTACAAAACTTGAATGACACGTACCTGAGGATCGATACATTTCTAATTAATATACGAAGCACATTTACGCGAAATACTGTCAAAAAAGTGATAAAATCGATGAATTTCCCAGGGAAAATATAAACTCTGCGTTCAAAGTGCTCGAGGCATCTGTCGGTAAGAGATGGAAGCTACGAGTTACGGATACGCCCGCTAGAGCGCAGATTGGTCGAAACGCCCTTTTTATAATGGCCGCCGCTAGAGTCGCTGCGATTGGTCGAGACAACGGTGGCCATCATGAATTTCGCAAAAATGAAAATCATGATGGCCGACTCGGGATAGCCAATAACGGGACAGGGGTGGGACTCGGTGAAAATCGAATGAAAAATGGCGTCGCTTTCGCCCGAGACGCGTTAATTTGAGCGACGAAGGGAAAGTTTGATCTCTTTTCCGAGAATATAATATAGGGAAAACGGAAAATGGCCGAGTGATTTGAACGGGAACAAACTTCGTTAATTATTCGATAAAGACGAAAATTCTATACAAAGGATATAAAGTACAATCCATATTTAGAATGAATACAATATTCAGCAGAGTCTTCTGCAGAAATATACTTACTCAAAATTTATCAAAATATTGTACGTCAACATTCACGAAGACCTTAAATGATTTTTAGTGCGATCAATTATGAGATTACGAGCGTCACGAGAGTTTTATTAGGTAGTAACAGGCGGCGTGACTGCAGATCGTCGTGTGATTTTCAGCGCTTGCAAATTCATTGTGACAGCTCCCCTTAAAAGTAGCCGGTCGTTACAACGTTTTAACATCCGTAATAAAATAACCATTTACATCATTTACAATTAAAAAAGAAACAAAACCGCAAGGAGGATAAATAGGTAAATAGAGGAGAAAGGTTGGCTCGTAAACGACGCGTTCACTCGAGCTTGGGCCAACCTCGAGCTTGGCCAAGAAACAGCCACCGCGATGAGGGCAAGGAGGCCAGCAGGGACGCGTGTAAAAACTTTTATGATCGCAGTCAATAAAGTGACGTAACACGAGGAGCGTTCTACGAGCGGTGGCGTTGTGACGTCAGGGACCGGAAGTGGAACGCGTAAATGCCACGCGCCTTCCCGTTGCAGACGCGATAGAGAGAAATCAGGGAGAAGGGGTAGGGGGGGGGGTAGGTAGACACCGAGGAGGCTTCCGCCACACACCGGGGGTGGGTGTAGATCGCGCGTCAACGGGCTGAATGACGAGACGGTAGAACGGTTAAGGGTGACCGTGGAGCGGTGAAGAATGTGGTAAAGAGAGCTCGTTCGCTGGAGAGACGAAGAAAATGGTCTGTCTCGCAGGACAGAGAGCGAGAGAGAAAGAATTGCAGAAAGGAGAGAGAGAGAGAGAGAGAGAGAGAGAGTCAGAGAGGTTGATGGTTTACGACATTCCGTTGATGGTCGTAGTGGCGTAGTTGCGGCGTCGAGCCCATAAAAATGTAACGAGCCTGTAAACGTTCGTTTATATTGGCCTGCCTTTACACCATTGTGGATTGGGATAGGTCGTGGCACTGTTTCTCTCCCGTTCCCGGCACACCATGTGACGTCAGCTAAGACGCGAGGCACACACACACACACATTGTGTAGGAACGCGTTTCGCGATTTGTCACGCGGTTACGCGATTCGTATTAATGATGACCGATACCATCGGTTGAGAACTACATTGCATGACCGACAGCAAGCTTAGAAATGAAACATTGCCTAATATATTTCTCAAGCACAGTTTATATGCGATGTGTAAAAAAACTTGATGGGACTTCGTACGATAGACGTCGAAAGTGTGCGTGAGAGATTTTTTGAATTCGTATGTCAGGCCTGACGTTCGAAAATCGCGAACAGAAATGCAGAAACAGAGCTTCATGTGAATCTAGCAAATGCGTCCGATAGTCTAGACTAGACTAAACTAAATTTCTCGTTAAATTTCCACTTCGGTCAAATTCGCGCTCGTTTGTTATTTGAACAGTGGCGTGAATTTGATCTACGTGAACGAACGTTTACTGCGATGTGCAGGTATCTGACGTTTATAAAAAATTCTACCTAACAGAAAGCGAAGACGAGATTTTAGTGGTGATAAACGCTTAGATCGTGTAAATCCCAGCTCTGCATCGTAAGCGTTATCGCGATGGAAGAAACACCCTTCGGTGAATGGTCGATCAACGCGCGTCCTTGACCCTTCACCGAACCTTGAATGAAAGAACCGCATCTCGCCTGGGCTTGTCACCCCTCCGAGAATAATTCTACTAAGCGAGATCGAGGCCATTGTCAATTTCGTTCACCACGTAACGCTGTTTCCCTCTGTCCCCGCTTCAGATTCTAACCCTCCTATTTCGATCTTCGATGCGTCGTGCAAAAGTAACATTTTTATCGGAGATCAATGTGAAATTTCAGCTGAATGGCTACATGGCTTGTCTTTTGTTTCGTGCGTTCGTTGATCCAATGAATTAGAGCCAATTGCAGTCGACTGTTATCTCTCTAGCTTTCAACTATATTCGCTGCACGTTTCACAGAAGATTGTCTTCACTCTACGGAACATTGTCTACTCATCTGACAGACCGTGAATTCGTCAAAATACACGTTCGAGAGAAATTCGTGAAAACACGTCTGTGGGCATTCGCGCGATATCCGTCGCTCGTCTTTTACGAGACGAGAGAAATAAATAAAGTTTCACCGAGAAAAAGACGATCAAGAATCCACACGTCTCGGAAGCACATGATCGAGAAGATTGGCCAGAGAAGCGACTGATGCGAGACCAAAGAGGCAGGAGGTGTGTTTTTACGAGTGATTGCGTAACGTTTCCGGCGTAGCCGACGACGACCTTGACGTCGATCCACATCCGTAGATGAGACGAACCGACCGCGTGTGATTCATATACGCTGCGATGTTAGGTGTTCGACACCGCGGGCCTGCGACTGCTCGTTTTACGAACGCTTAAAAGTTTATAGGCGGCAGTAAACGGCGGCGTTTACCTTTATTTCACTGCTTCCCGGTCGAGCGACTCGTTTCTAAGGAGCCACCGAGCGTCCTGCCTTTTTATCTTTATGCGGACGTTTGTCTCTGAGGTTCGCACACGAACGATCGAACACACAGTGTGTCGTCACGGTAGATCTTCAGATGTTGTTTCAACGAGCGTCGATTAACAAATAATGAACGAGTAATTAGCGTCCGAGTGCTGAGTTGTTGAGAACGTCAGCAACTTGTTTGAGGAGGTGTGAAAATGTCGGGTGGAAGTTTATATCGCTGCGGCATCGACATTAGAATGTAAAACAGGATGCTTCTGTTTAATGGAGCTAATACAATGTGACGTGGAAATTATGTCACCACGTGAAATGTAACAACCGGGGCAACGGCGTCAAAGGAAAAATATTCTCGCTCGCATCGCTAGTAATTTCCCGATGTACGACACAATTTGTCGGTAATTGCCCTAACACGTGTCGTAAAGTATAAGTCCTCCGTATTTCGTCCCTTTTCTTTCTGCATATCGATGTTTACGCAGCATTCAAATCGTCATTTGACGACTGAAACTTATTTTCAATGACCATGTCATTCAATTCCACCGATGGTACAAAACATAAATTCATTTAATTCCAATTCGTCAGCAATTCCGTCTAGCGTGCACCGTTTATTATTATTCGCAAATCTAACCATTGCCTAATGTAACGCGTTCATTAAGAAAATTTGTACACTAATCTCGATCGAATAAAATTTACTTAACAGGCATATCGTCTAGTTGGTGCATCGAGCGTTGGAAAGTGTACG